TTCCTTCCGTCGTCGCTCCTCGTCTCGCACACGTTGCCTCTTCCCCCACACTCTGCCAACACGTTCTCACGCCGTGTACCCCGGCCCCGTCGTCTTCCTTCCGACCACCACCTCCCCACGACCAACCACTCTAGCCTACTGGCCGCCGCCACCACCACCACCGCTGCCGTCGCTAACGCCGCCATCCAGCCTGCCTGCCAGCCATCCTGCCATCAGCAGCACTCGTCACCAATCAGCTTCGGTCCATCCAAATCAGTCGACGTCTAGCTGAGAAGTCACCTTCGACAGCTTTTGCCCATCACCTGGCCCGGTTCATTTCTTCGCCGCCGTAGCTTATAGCCAGCCAGCCAGCCAGCCAGCCAGCCAGCCGGACAACAGCAGCCACACCCTGACCCGCGCCACGTCAGACTCTGCGAGCGATCGCTGCTCGCCACCACTCGCCATCTGTCTCAAAGGCGGGCAGAGACCCATCCCCCCTTCCAAAACCGAGACCGCTCTCTCTAGCCCATCCGAACTGGAACTGAGCTACCCTCACACCACCCCAGTGAGTCTCGATCAGCAGATCCTCGCTTTTTCTAGGCGGCAGCCGCGTCCATCCACTAACCGCCATCAACTCTATCATCCATCCGTCTCCCGTCTCCCCTGTCTTGACCGCCTTTGCCCAACGCAGCCGCTCCCCAAGATGGCACAGTCAGCTGCCGATGCCGCGGCGCACGGCGGCGAGGGCTCGGGCCTCACCGCCAGCAGCTACGCCGTCGACAAGTCCCAGATACCCCGCCCCTACAAGTGCCCGCTCTGCTCCAGGGCCTTTTACCGCCTCGAGCACCAGACCAGGCACATCCGGACGCACACGGGCGAGAAGCCCCACGTCTGCACGCATCCGGGCTGCGAGAAGCGCTTCAGCCGCAGCGACGAGCTCACCCGCCACGTCCGCATCCACGCCAACCCGAAAAAGGGCGGCGCAGCGGCGGCCCACGCGGATGCCGACGGCAAGCGCAACGCCGCTCTGAACCGCAAACCCGGATCGCAGAAGCCGGCGAGCAGCGGGCGTGCGGTGCGATGGCAGGTCGGCGCCGAAGACGAGCTTGATGAGAGCGACTCTGACCATGAGCACCACGAGCGCAAGATGCGGAGCGGCGGCGCGCACGGAAGGTCGGGCGAGATGTCGGCGCTCGCCATGCTGGCCAGCGACGAGCTCCACGAGCTGCAGCGAGCCGAAAGGGAGGGTCGCAAGCCGATTCTCGGCCGTGGCTACGGCCAGGCGCCGTCGCAGGAGGCGTACGGCGACCGGTACTACTCCCACCCGCAGTCATCGTCCTACGCTGCGGCCTCGACCCACGCGGCGGGAGGCGACACTCCTCCCGGATGCTCGCACGACGATTGCCATCGCAAGTTCAACGATCGCATCGCTTATACGCTGCTCTCGCGCCCTGCCTCCGGGCGGTACGGCGCCAATGATGGCGCCTACGCTCGCCCTGGCGCCCCTCCGCTCGGCGGCCCGTTCCCGCCACCCAGCCTGGCCCACCGCTACTATCCGTACCAGTCGACGCCGCTGCAGAACGGCGGGTTCGCCTCGACGTCGAGCAGCATGCCGAGCAGCGTCGAGCACTCGCCGCGATTCTCGCCAGAGGAGAGCCTGCCCGGCGGCGACGACTACATTTCCGACGTGGACCATCTCCACGAGGACCTCAAGCCGAGGCTGGCCGCCAACGCTCAGCCGCACTGGACGCCCTCGAGCAGTCCGGTCCTGGGTCCGCTTCGCAACATGAGCCTGCTTGGTGCGAGCACGGTGCCCAACAGCCCGATGCACTCGCGGCCGGGATCGCCGATCCACCACGCGTCGGCGCGACTCTCGCCGCACGCCGCCGTGTCGCCGCCGCACTATGCCCACGCGGGCACCTACCACGAGGGTCCGGCGCACCAGCCGGGCGTTGGACACCACGGTTCCCACCGGCACCGAAGCCACCCTTACGGCCCGTCTCTGCACGACTCGTCGTCGCGCTCCAGGTCGCACCACCATCTCTCGTCGCTCGGCGTGACGTCGAGGCACGTTTCTGCCTCGGGCCACCCCTCGATCCCGCCGAGCACCTCTGGGGAGAGGAGCACCGCCGCAGAGCTCGACTCGCACGCGAGCGGTTCCGCCTCGACCTCGGCCTCGACGTCGCCCGCGCAGCCCTCCAACATGCCTCCGAAACTCTCGAGGAGCCACAGTTTCGGCTCGCGAGGTCGCTCTCTGGGCTCCAGCGCGAGCCTGAGCGCGTATCACCTCACGCCGACAGCCGCTCCTCCCGCACCGTGCGAGGCCGACCGGTCCGGTGTGGCCTCTGCAGCGGTGCCGCGCAAGAACCGGATCGGAGGACAGTCCTCGATGGCGGACGCCCGGCAGCAGTCGGCGGGCGGCG